TTGTAGTCCAAACGAGTCGTTCGTTGTAGTTTTTGAAAAGTGATTTCTGTTAAATAAAATATCTCCTTTTGAAGTGGACTTTGAGCTTTGTAACTTTGCAGATCTTTTTTATGCTCAAACAGCAACATTACAGACTAACTAATGTTGTTAAAAAGTGAAAAAGCATAATAGGACCCCTTTAAATGAATTAATTTACTACATTTTCGGTAACACTGTGTCCTTGTTACACGTTGCATGCACTTACTATTATAATAAGAATAAATGATGCATAATTACATGCAAGTATAACCTAATCCTAACCCTAACCAAATAGTAAGTACATGTAGTAAATTGTAGTTGTTACTCAGTACTTAAATGTATAATTACACTGTAACAAGGACACCTTAAAATAAAGTGTAACCAAATTTTCATTTAGGACATCTTGAAATGTAAAATCTGACATTATTTTAATATAATAATTTACATACCTTATAAAGTATATCAAATGTCCTGAACTCTCAGAAACACAAGTTATTCCAGAGCAGCTCTGAGCCTTGCATTTTATTTTTAGCTCAAATAGGCCTGCTCTGAAAAAATGGATTAGTGGTTCATTCAATCCCATTCTCGCCTGTCCCAGCATGCACTGGGGCATGAATAATTCATATGGATTGACCATTTGCCAGTTTTATTTGCACTGTTGTTTGCAATCATGTGTGTGAAGCCAAACAGTTCAAGACATCAAGCACTTTCAGCTCTTCATTACCTGTAAATGTCTCATAGAAAACATAATATTGAACAATTTATGCAAGAAATTAAACATGTTTCATAGAGCTCTTTTTAAGTTACAACTTAATAAATATTTCTTTTATTTTTAAGAGTTGAGATCTACAAATAAGAATTGTTACACTGCACCTTCCAAGCACACAATGCACACACAATGAGATATTGCAATATTGATGATTAATAATGAAGATATGACTTTGAATAAAACAATAAAAATCTTTTTGTGGTTATATTGCATCCTGGGTGTCATTAAAACATTTTCTGGTCTGGAATGCACATTTTTGCCCAAGAGAATTTTCTCAGAAATGCATTTTATTCATTTTGCACCCATCAAAAATATGACTCTCGTTTGTCATTGAGTAAACTTTGTTTTAAATCATTTAGATTCATATAAATAATTTACATGTTATGTGGAATTGCTTAAAAAGGAATTGTTTGTTTCCTTCAAGTAACACGAGCAGAATTGATGCATAATGAATGCAGATGATATGAAACAACTGATGCAGAATACTGCAGTCTTATTTTTTTCTTCTTGCATTACTCGTTATTAAAGTATCTAGATTTTTAGAACTGAGCAAAAACTGATTAAAAGCTAATATAAGAGTAAATTCTATTAGATTATTCCATGTTAAGTTTCAAGTATTTATTTATAGTTTGCCAGATGTAAAATGAAGAACATTAATATATCATATAATGCTTAAAAAACTATTTGAACATTCAAGCACATTTACATTCAAGCACTTTTAATTAACTGTTAATTCCTGCACATTTGTACTGAACTTCTGATCTCTTAAGTCTATATAATGTTTGCTAAAGATTAATGCAGTTTAAGACTAATTAATGAAGTGCCACCTCTCCATTGTATATATATTTGAAGCAGCTGAGACTACTAACCTTCATGAAGATAGAAACAACTGCTATTCCATTAGGACTCCGGACGGCATCACTGTAATTTAAATACAAATCCTGATTATAATGGATGAGCTGCACCTGTGAAAAGAAAAAAATAAGTGTGACTTCCAGTATAAAAAAAACAAACACCCTGGATAACAAACACCTGCTAAGTGTGAATAGGGGCCAAAACATTGTGACTGTATATCTGGCAGTGCTATACTTAAAAAATAAAAAAAATTTAAATGCCGTAATGCATAAAACATGCCCATACATTATATGCATATGACTGCATATAACTCCATTAACTTCCATTGTGTCAGCTTGTAATCTCGTGCGACACTGTAATGAGGGTCAGTACATTAATCTGTATAAATATTTTGCTGTGTGTTGTGTATAAATTGTTAATGAATTGTTAATGGGAACATTATGAAGCTCCTTTATGCTCCTCCATCCTGCTTTATCGTTCTTTCAGCGCAGCTCAATGAAAGCAGAGAGATGGAAGCCAGGAAAGCTGCTGCTTAATTTTTTTTAGTGGCTCAAAATTGCATTGGAACTCATTAGAAAATATGCTTCAGTCATCAGTTATAATGAGCTTGCTTGTCAGCTTCCAAATGAAGTTGTTGGAAAGCTGCTACCCATATAACCTCATTTGGATTAGGAAAATGAAGTGAAGCTGCTGACTTCAGTGAAATCAGAGGTGAGGATCAGAGAGGGCCGCACATCTCTGCGCAACAATAAGATAAAGTCTAAACTCATTAAAATGATTTGATATTTCTGGCACAGATTGGTGGTCTTGACAGTTTGAAAACTGGCTCTTGTTGTACATTAAGAATTGTTTGCTCTGTTTCAGTATGAGGGTCAATGACAAGAATCTCAACAAAGAAAAGGATATCTTTAAAAAAACTTAAAACTGTAGATTAAATCGTTTAAATTAAAAAAACAAACATTTGTATAAACACACGCACACACTTTTTTACACTTTTAAAGAAGTCTCTTATGCTCTCCAAGGCTGTTGGCTTCTTAACAGTTTTGTGGAACATTATAACCTTTAACATACAGTGGGGAAAAAAAGTATTTAGTCAGCCACCAATTGTGCAAGTTAAATAAGAAGTTACAGGTCTGTGAGAGCCAGAAATCTTTCTTGTTTGTAGGTGACCAAATACTTATTTTACCGAGGAATTTACCAATTAATTCTTTAAAAATCCTACAATGTGATTTTCTGGATTTTTTTTTCTCATTTTGTCTCTCATAGTTGAGGTATACCTATGATGAAAATTACAGGCCTCTCTCATCTTTTTAAGTGGGAGAACTTGCACAATTGGTGGCTGACTAAATACTTTTTTGCCCCACTGTAATAACTGTCTTTACTGTCACTTTTTTTAAGGATTTATTTTTTGGCATTTTCGCCTTTATCACGATAGGACAGATCATAACTGACAGGAAGCAAACTGGGAGAGAGATAGTGGGGTAGGATCGGGAAAGGTCGGGATTTGAACTCGGGACGCCTGACTTTACTGTCAATTTTGAAAAATTTAATGCATCTTTGTTGAATAAAAGAAAACAAAATCTTACTGACCTCAAATTTGTGTATAAAATAACAATAATAATACAATTTATTTTCAATAATTTTATTCTTCTTCATTACATGACCAGGATAGTTACCCTTACATTTTTGACTGTCACTCCAAAACATTTTTGAAAAGAAATGACATGCTCATCATATAAGCAATTTATTCAAGTCACTGTATGCATGCATTGCATTTTTAATATCATTTTTAATAGTGGAATAGATTCAGACAATCAAAGAGAGACAAAACCTAGGCTCCACAATAGCTGTAAGAAGCACCTGTGTGATGGATGGGGTTTTTCCTCACAATAAAAATTTACATTTCCAGCACAAGACCAATTCATATCCGACTGTGCAATCTGGAAGATGACCCATTGCTTTACGGTTTTATTTAGTCCCTTCTTAAAGCACAATCACGTTTTAAGATAAGAATTTCCATAATCCTGACTTTGGCCTTTAATCCTGAATAAAAAGACTTTATTAATGAAAACTCAGTGACACTGTACAATGCACACATTTTGTGGGAAATCGTGAATTTATTACTCCAGTGAAAGTTGCAACAGTTAACTTGGCTTTGGAATATTTCTCTCTGATCTCCTCCAATAAGATCTCGTTGTGGGCTTTGTCTAACTCTGTTTCATGTTGTTGAAGGAAAATGGTCTCAGGGAAGTAGATTTTTTTTATTTCTGGTGCAAAACTGATACGATAAAAGGGACTAACTTCAGAATTTTGCCTATTTCATTAACTTCAGTGCCAGCACTGAAGGAAGACAGTTTTAATTGAATCCCACAGACGTGATGCATTTCCAGGCTCTATGTTGCCTCACCTCTCCAGGGAAGGCCTGGCCGTTGAGCAGGTGCTCGGAGCCCCGACTGTCCTCGGCGCCAAAGTGAAGCCGGATCTCTTCCAGCCTGTAGCTGTAGCTCAGCGGCCCGCCAGAGATGTTCACCAGGTGTGACTTGTCTGGGCGCAGGGACACATGTCGGCCCGTGTTATACATCGTTCCACTGAACTGAAAAACAAACCTACGATGTAAACGAGCTGTAAATAAAACAGATTATTGGAGCATGTTTTACAAGAAAAGAAAAAAGTTTCAAAGTAAACCTTACACCAAATTAGCTTACAGTTCCGATATTTTCTGCGATTCTCGTTTCTGACCTTTCATGATAAAATCATATTAAGTGATTCCATGTTTACAGTCAGTACATTTGGGAGGACAAAGGTGAAGCAGTTTTCACCTGGATAGGCTAAAAGACAATATAAGCGCTTTTGGAAGTTGTGCCTCTCACACAGGAAATTCCTGGAAAAACAGGCACGAATATAATAAAGAGACTGTTTGATTGTGATGGACTGAGGTTTTTCCAGGTAAACCTGGTTGTCAGGTGCAACTGCTGAGGTAGGAATTATGAAGCAAATGCATTGAAGCTGAAAAACGAAAACCTATAACTGGAAAACAACACCTGGAATGCTGTGTCTTTACTTTGTGATAACGCTGCTGGCTTGGGATTTCTAATTGAGACCAAAATGCGTCTTGATAAGGCACCCCAGTGATCAGAACATCTTTGTAAACAGCTGTGAGAGCGAATGTTCAAGAATGTATTCTAATGGGAGATTTCAAATTAGTTGAATATAGTTGGCTCATTTGTGATCTGGAGACAGTTTAAGAACTGCTGATCCCTCAGGAACACGAGAATGAGCAATACATTTAGCCTGACGTCTCATCTGGACAAATTCTTAGCAAGAGGTAATTACGATCACTTTGAACTGTAGCCCTGAAATAATTCAGAATAAAATGGCAACTTAAGCTGAACTACAGTACAAGGGGTGACACTCATTATTCACAGCATTAATCACTACTGTCCACCAAAACTCAAAAGACTATGGAAGCCTATTTCCAACTCAGAGAAAGGAAAATGTGATGTCAACCTTTTTCCTCGTGACTGAGATTTTATTTCACGTATACACTGTCAGAAAAATTAAAAAGAGCAAAAACTGTACTTTTAGGGGTACAACAGCTTGTCAGTGGGGCAGTACCCTCAAAGGGATGCCTTTGTAACATCTTTACCCCCTAAAGGGTGCATATTGGTGCCTTAAAGTAGTAATATGTACTCTTACAGTATTATTATGCACCCTTTAGTGGTAAAGAAAGTAGAAAGGTGTCCCTTTGAGAGTACTGACCCAGTGACAAGCTGTTATACCCCTTAAAGGCACAATGTTTGCACATTTCTTTCTTAGAGTGACTTAATTTTTTACATTTATGTTTTTAATTGCAACTTTGTCTCATAACTGCAACTTTATATCTCACCAGTGTTATTTTTGTATTACTTATTTCAAAAATATTTTAAATGGGCTTTTTTATATTATCAGTTTTTAATTTTAGTATTTATAATTTTGTTATGTGTTTTTGTCATTTTTATAATTTTAGTTATTTTAATATTTCTATTTAGCTTTAGTTTGTAGTTATGTCGGTTTTAGTTTTAGTCATTTTTAACACCAACTTAGACAACTTACTTTATTTTAGTTGGAAAGGAAACATTTCTAATTTGAACATTTGTATTTTATTTCAGGTTTACTTCAGTTTACAAAATCTTTCTTTAATACTTTAGTACAATAACAACACAGCTGTGACTCACAGTTGCAATTGACAATGTCACTTTATTTCATATTTTAACCTATACCTCACATTCCCTGAACTCAAGAGATATGAGCAAGAACCAGTAAATCCGATATTTCAATTCAGTAACTTAAGAATCAATAAATGAATGCTTGCAGGGCACATATACAGTATATGTAGTCCATCTAAAAGAGACCATAAACTTTTCCATTACAGCCTTGAGTTTCCATGCACAAATTACATTATTTAACAGCCCTGCGGTAAGCAATGCCACCAACCAATCAAACGGACTTAAATTCATGGAGAACATTTAGGTCTCCAATGGAATTTTCTCTAGGAATAACATGCAACTCCCCACATAAGAGAGCACAGTCATAACAAGCTCAAAGGAGCAATGCATACATAAATGTAATTGGGTCTCCCGAAAATAAGAGCAGAAAAACCTCCAGAGGAAAACAGCAGTACACTTTTATTTCAGGCTCCTGACTAAGTCTAGGGTACCAATGTATTATTGACTGAAGATGAACTACGGTATATCATCCATAACCACAACCCCTTGGAGCTTCACTGGAGAATTCTTCACTGACAGCCCCTGTCAGCACAGATGGTGAGCCTACCTAATCTCCCCCAGCACATGCACAGCAGCATTAATCATAAAACAGGATGTTAAATGAGGAATTAACTCCTTCCTTTCCCTCCCGCTCTGTGGAAAAAATCCCCCTTAGTGCTCAAGATCTGTATGACAACAACCGCCCGAAACCCTTCAGAGGTCAGAGCGATATCTGATGTACCCCAACCATCGATAATCAAACACTGGATTTGTGTTTGGTAAATGAGTTAAGTCACACTAATCTGCTGACTGACTGCAGGTGCACCTTATTGAAAGCAAATTGCAAGCAATTGTGCACGCCGGAGAGAATTAGCGATCTCATTACAGCACCGTTGTAACAAATTAACAGTCGTGGAGCATTAGCCATCTTCAAAGGCTTCATTTGGAAAGCTTCACTGTTGTGCTTGGCAAAAATAATTGAGGAGCTGCTTCATTGGCCAACAGAGGTGTATAAGAAAGTCACCCAATGAATTAAGACTCCGCAACAAACCAAACAACGAGCTGTCTAAACAGCCACAGAAGTAAATACAGAATGTGATTAAATTTGACAAATGGACCGTTAAACTGGGGTTATGCTACATGACCCGATCTTGTCAAAATCCTAGTGAATTATAGGACATTGGTCTAAAGTGAATAATGTGTGACTGTCCATCCTCTACCAGTTCGAATAATGTGAAAAATAGCTATTTTATGACCCAAAACAGATATTATAGAAAGGATTATGATGCAACAGTCAATCATAATCTGTGATATTTTAAGAAAGAGCTTTATCCTTTCCAGTACTTACCTTACGTTGCCCTGCATTGAGCCGTAGCGGATTGAGGAAGGGGTCAAAAATCATTCGACTGGTTTCGATGTTGACCGGCGACTGTCTCTTCCCAATCGAGCACAGGTTCCAGGCAGTGTTAACTAGTCCCCAGAAAGATGGCACTAGCAAAATATAAACACAAAAAGTGAAGTTCAGAGCATTAGCTTTAATTTTCAGCTGTAGACTGTTGCGCTTGCCGTTTTGTAACGGGTCATGATCTGATTGGAGGGGGATATGTTTGGGATTATCTCAAATTGCTCATCCCAAATTTCCTCCGTAAGCCCCGTCTATGGTGTGATGTTATTTTTGAGTTTGGATCGAGTGGTTGATATCCTTTGAGACAACCTTTTGACTAGCAATCAATTTGAACACTTAATTACCAGGCGCAGCGCCGGTTCTCTTTTGAAAACGAGGTCATTATCGTGCATCCAAATGAAAGAACCGCATGTTAATGCGATTGGCTCCGCAAAAGCAAACTCACGAAAAAAAAGAAACACAGATGGAATTAGTCACATTAGCCACACAGCCAAAGGACATACTTGACCTTATATGATTAATTTATTCTCGGAGATGTTTCCAGTCCTAGAACAGTAAACAACTTTATTGCTGATTGGAATGACTTTTCTTAGTGCATTGAACCTCAAAACTCATTTATCATATTTAAAATCAACATTACAGATTAAGGGAGGAGCCCAACGCCTGTGGTTTAAAGGGAAAGTTCAGCTAAAAATGAGATTTTTGTCATCATTTACTCACCCTTATGTCATTCCAAACCTGTATAACATCCTTTATTTTGTGAGACACTAAATGTTTCACCTCCACACTGGCCACGTCATCCTCATTAGATCACCAAGAGCTCGGATGCTTCAATGTAAAGGCAGTATCACCTTTTGTCCCCATAGGCTGAGATTATAAACAGATTTATCCAGCATGGACAAGTGATCCCCTGGCCTGATTTTCCTCTCATCATGTCCAGCTCTGTGGGAGTGAAACCGGACTGGGCTACGTGATGGGTTTGCCGTATTAAATTAGAAAGAGCAAAAAACACATTAGATACAAAGATTATGCTACATGAGAAAGCTGTGGAATAACACAAGCTCTTTTCCTTCGAATGCATGAAAGCTATTTACGCTGTATTTGTATTTATTTTCAGCATCTCTTTGTACAGTGACCTAAATAAATGATTGTTTCCAAACCTGTGATCTAACTAAGGTGCAATCCTCCTTTTGTCTGGCATCCTAACAGCTACTGAGCTCATTACGTCGAGTCGGTTTTTATTTTTTCACTTCTCAAATGTCTCTCTCAGTGCTTTCTTAAATGTCAAGGACAGACAGAATATGCAACTGCTTATAAAACTGAGGGAGGAACGAGTAAGACTTTTGTGCTTATTTAGAAGTAGGCTCAGCTCAGCCTATAATTCAAAATGTAAGATATCAAAATGCTGAAGTCACAAAGCTGTCAGACACTAGTTATATCATCTTGGATAGGAAAAATACAAAAACCGTAAATATGAACATACTCATATATTTCAGGGGGGGTTTTTTGCACCAAAAACATTTTGAAAAAAAATCTAATGATTTCCACCCTCTCTGATGCACCGATATTAAAATCCTGGGTGATTTGATAAGCTGATAATGGATGCCAACTGCCTATGTATTTCTGCTAAAATCTCAGTGCGCTTCCAATTTTCCAATGTTCTCCCTAGCAAACTGTGGTATAGCAAACTCTTTCTCTTATATTTCTATTAACTGTAAGTAAAAATAACTAATAATATAACAACTAATTATATATATAATAACTCATTTCAATTAGATACAATATAGTAATCTATAACATTTTAGTAATGAGTCCAGAAATAAATTAGCAGGTGAATTGAATCAATTATTGCTTTGTCCTGTTATGGGACACTTCCTCAAGATTTCATTTTTTTGGTAACTTCCATACGCTGTGCTATACTGGAGGTAAAGGCTAAATATGGAAGCACATTTTTTGTACATATTTTTATAAGCTGATAGATGACCATTATTAAAACATGAAAAGATTGACCAATATTAAAATGACAACAAAACAAAAAAAAAAAGTTAACAACATCGCAACCTTGCAATGTGCATTCACTTTGAGATTTGTAAAGGATTACATTTAATAGTGCTATTAATTTATTAGTGTTTTAAACAATTAATTTTAAAGTGTTAGATGGCATTAACAGTAATTTAAACAAAAGAAAATAATAAAGAAATTAGGTACAAACATTTAAATTCAAGCCAATATTGGTTGTTATATATCCATCAATTATTGCTTTGTCCTGTTATGGGACACTTCCTCAAGATTTCATTTTTTTGGTAACTTCCATACGCTGTGCTATACTGGAGGTAAAGGCTAAATATGGAAGCACATTTTTTGTACATATTTTTATAAGCTGATAGATGACCATTATTAAAACATGAAAAGATTGACCAATATTAAAATGACAACAAAACAAAAAAAAAAGTTAACAACATCGCAACCTTGCAATGTGCATTCACTTTGAGATTTGTAAAGGATTACATTTAATAGTGCTATTAATTTATTAGTGTTTTAAACAATTAATTTTAAAGTGTTCGATGGCATTAACAGTAATTTAAACAAAAGAAAATAATAAAGAAATTAGGTACAAACATTTAAATTCAAGCCAATATTGGTTGTTATATATCTGGTATGAACAGATATAATTTAAAAATATCTCATACTGGTCAATAAAAATATAGCTAGTTCCAATATATTATGCTTTCAACTGTATGTAGTTTTGTGAATATTTTCAACTTTGGAGTCCCTTACAATTAAGTGAGTGCAATTCACTATTCAAAATATGTCACTGTGGTCATTTCAGTGGATAGCTGTACACATTTGTGTTGCTGCTGTAAAGCAAAATGCCCTTTTAGTGGATTTTTGCACCCGTTCACCAATCTTACATACTCCCAGAGAGGACATTTGGAGAATGCATAGGAAAGAAATAAAAGCCATTCACCGTACCATCAGAATGCAAACAAGACACAATAACAAGCCAAGCATCCAAAGATAAAAAAACAACAGCAGCAGCCTGAGTTTATGTTTGAGGTCCCGCCGAGTCTGTTTGTATTTTTAGCTAAACTCATTCTGAATCCATTGTTAAGGTCCGCAGAGCATTTTGAGCTCTGATGCTACCAGTCTGTCCTATCCAGAGTAATATAGTGATTTTGCTGTAGCAATTGATGAGTGGTAGACAGATGGCACCCTCATCCTCAGGGATCTGTGCCAGATTTGGCTTTGGGTTCAATACATTAATGAGAACTCTCTCAAAGTGCTTTTTAGGTATGACAGGGGGACAAATACATCAACCGAACAGCGTACAGTACAATGCGAGGCTGAGCGCTGCTGTTACATCATACTGAAAAAGTTGCATAAAGTCTTACATTTGGAGGCAGCACATTCATTTTAATGCTACAAATATTTACATTTTGCACATTCTCTTGGCTTTACACATTTCTGCATCTGAGAAATTTATTCAACAGTGCAGTTTTCCAGATGAATTGTTTTGTTTGTTCGGATTTGCTTACGCAATGTTTGTTCATCCCCCGAAGCACAAGTGCTGATGGGAGATAGCTGAACATATACATTTAATCACAGTATAATGGTGAATTGCTTCTTCAGTTTCGCTAATAGAAGCACATAAATGCAATCACCTGAAACGTCAGACCAGCACTTAATTATGGCTATTTTTAAATGTTAAAAGCAAGAAAAAAAATCTCCACACTTTATATAGTTGAGGTTTAGAATGAAGACTCTTAGGCTCACCATTTATCTTTTTTTGGCATTCTTTGATGAATAGAAAGTTTTTACTGCAACTTTTGATTAATTCAACCCATCCATGCAGACCCAAACTTGCTGACCCCAAATACTGTCTCTGATTTTGTTTGCGAAATATAACGTGTTGTTTTTAGTGCAAGCGAGACGAGTTATCAACATGAATTTCAAAAGTAGAACACGTCATGTAGCAGCTTCAGCGAAACCCTCAGGAGAACAGAAGAGATGTTCTCTCGCAATTAACAATGTAGAAACTTCCTGCCATAGCTAAGCATATAATGAGCGCATGCCAAAAACAGGACTAAAATATTCATTCATGAATATGCACACATTAAAGAAAAGTTCATCTCTCACTGGAGTGAACTGAAGTCCATGACTGAAAATAGCCAGTGCATGTCAATCATTATGAGACTTTTTGGAGCATCACATTCAACTGATAAGACAACATTATAAAATGAAAACGGGTTCTTCCTCCTAAACTTAGTCTCTTAAACCTTCTTTTAATTAATTGTAAGATATGAAAGCTAATTTGTGTAACTGGCATGATCAAAGTGACTGAGAGTTACATTTGATTCCTGTTGTAAGTATGATGAATCAATCATAAAAACACTTTACAGTTAAAGCTGATGTGTGTTCTGAATTTTTTTTCAAATGTTAAATACTTCCTCCTATTGCAGCTTAATGTGCAGAGACAGCTATAAGGAAGCCAATTTGTCAAGCTGATTCTCCTAATTGAACAGTGTAAACACTGTGTCTCTGTGGTGCATTCAAGACATTGATTTGTTTAAGCATCCAACCACAAGAACACAATAGCAACAGCAACAGCAGCGACTAAACCAAATGACGTTAGTTTAAGGGTGGGGCATCTGTTTACCTGACCAATGGCAGACAGGGGAGGGGTCATAAAACACATTTAGAAAACAAACATCCAAATTTTTGTTTCATTTGGTGCTGCAGAGATTCCACACTTCATCTGTACTATGCCTCATATTTTACAATAAGATCAGATTTAACCGTAACTGATATACAGTAGTCAACATTTGAAGTGGATCAAAACCTTTCATCAAAGTTGTCCTAAAAGCAAAATGCGTTCTTGTCTTAGGACAGTGTTTCTCAACCCTGGTCCTGGGCGTCCCCCAGCACTGCACATTTTGTGTGTCTCCCTAATCAAACACACCTGATTCAGCTCATTAGCTCATTAAAAGAAACTCCAGGACCTGAAATGGGTGTCAGACAAGGGAGACATACAAAATGTGCAGTGTTGGGGGGTGCTCAGGACCAGGGTTGAGAAACACTGTCTTAGGACAACCTTGATGAACTTTTTTTGATCCACTTCAAACGTTGACTACTGTATTCTTTGACAAGTGAACACGTCACAAGCGCTTTAGCGAAACACTTAAGTTTAAAGGATTACTACTAAACCATAGCCTTTAGTGTTCTCAAACCATTTGGACAAGTAAAAAGAGTGTTTTTCTTGTGAGGACGGTCTTGAAATGAACACAGACACGCACTGGGAAAGGGATGACGTTCACTATTTGAATGCGTTGTCATCTTCTTTCTTTCACAGTCCTTTTTAAGTCTCAAGGACATTTACGCTATATAAATCCAGAGAGTTTTTCTCCCTTGCAGAACACTTAATAAATAGGTAAATTTATGTGCAATACATATATTTATGAGTTGCTATAGGGCTTACTTGATATCCCCTACAACTCGGATTGATGCTGCACTACATGTCCTTGTACAGTAAGTAGATCAAGCATTACTTTTCTGAAATATAAAGACCCCTCCCTCATAAATACTGTAAGTATAGGAATTGTATGGTTCTGTCCCCTATAGATACCTTCTTTATTAAAAGCTTTTAAGCATACTAAAAGGAAATTACCATTACAGTCCTTGTCAGTGTTCAAAGGGCTCCTTTGCTGGCTACATACATTACTCTGACTGACTACATAATGAAGTAGTTCAAATAAAACTCATAAAGTGTCTCAGACCTCTACTGCAATAGTAAGCATTAATCAGTCGAGACCACAAGCTGTAAAAATAGATTAAGCTATAACCAGGCCCACACGGGATCTGCGCCCGCAGAACAAGATATGGGTAGAATTCATTCATCCACCATTCACGGTGTTCTGCTCTTGCATGTTCAGTTATTAAATATTTCAGCTAATTTGTTTTTGATTACAGTTTTTAAAGCTATTCTGCATAATTCTAAATAAAAATGTCAGTCATGACATATACTATCATTCAAAAGTTTGGGGTAAGAAAGAATTTTACATTTTTTTTAACTAAGTCTCCTATGCTCACAAAAGGTGTATTTATTTATTCAAAAATACAGTAAAAACAGTAATATTTTGAAATATTATTATGATTTAAAATAACTGTGTTCTATTTTAATATTTTAAAATAAAAAAGTTTCCAGTGATGCAAAGCTGAATTTTCAGCAGCCTTTAATCCAGTCTTCAGTGTCACATGAACCATCAGAAATCATATAATTTGCTGATTTGCTGCTCAAGAAACATTTCTTATTGCTATCAATGTTGAAAACAGTTGTGCTGCTTAATATGTCGTGGAGACTGTGATTTTTTGATGAACAATAAAATTCAAAAGAACAACATTTATTTGCAATTGATTTTTTGTAACATTATAAATGTTTTACTGTCACTTGCTGAAAAAAGTACAAACAGCCTGTCTGGGAAACTTGATCAAAAATCATTATTTCTGCACACCATTCTGTTTGGTGATGTTATTGGCACAAAAAATTTCAGCCTTAAAGGGTTAGTTCACCCAAAAATGAAAATTAGCCCATAAATTACTCACCCTCAAGTCATCCTAGGTGTATATGACTTTCTTCTTTCAGATGAATCCAGTCGGAGTTATATTAAAAATGGTCTTTGATCTTTCAAGCTGTTTCATGGCACTCAGCGGGTGCTGCATGCATCAGTCCAAAAGCACTTAATTAAATTGCGGCCATCCATAAAATGGGGGGAACAAAGGCCTTATTTAGGGAATCGATGCGTTTTTGTAAGAAAAATATCCATATTTAAAACGTAATAATCAATTTAATCTAGCTTGTGCTCACTGTTGTGCACGGAAGCAGCTCCGGGCGGATGACGTATGAGGTCAGCGCTGCGCATGCGCCGCTCAGAAGTGACGAACGCAGAAGCGCAGGGGAGAGATCAAAACAAAACAACGGTCAAGAATTAGAAGTACAAAACGAGGATTTGTAAAGAAGAATGTCGGAGGATTTCGATATAAGCCAAGAGGAGACTGGTTTTCCTTTGCTAAAGTAAGGAAACTTTGCTTCCTTTGCTCCCGTTAACAAATGTTGGTTTTCACGAGACTCACCGGCGCATGCGCAACGCCGACCTCAGAGGTCATTCCCCCGGAACTGCTTCCAGTGTACAACAGTGAGCGCAAATTAGATTAAAGTGATTATTACGTTTTGAATATCTTGCTTGCATCATTTAGTGACCTTAAACGTATCAGGCTATCTAATCTCGTGTTGAAATGTTAGCACTATAAACTCCCCATTTAAACTCTAAATTATGATGCAGCATGTGCAAAGTACCGTTAAATAACTTTTCACCCTGATTTGTGTTAAATCATCTCCTTCACACCGCATACATACATTAAACGTGTGAATCAAACAGAATAAAATATTCATTGGCACCCTGGAGCTTCATGTGCTATATGTCAACACACAAAGTCTCTGCGAATAAAGCATCAACCGGCGCATATCTTGCGCGTCTTAGCAGCTTGACTCTTGACAAGACACATTCTGCATACTCTCACACGGTTTTCTTTTTTGAAAGGCTTACCTGGTATAAAGCTCCCCTGGACAACATCTTTGTATGCCCACCAACCATCGTGCAGCTTTGATGACACTGGCTGTGCTGCGGGAAAAGAAGAGATTCACACATCACTCACCCACTGCTCTTTGAAAATACAGGCACACCTGTAATAGACCCCAGCTCCCCGCGGAGAGAAGTTTCTGCTGTCAAATGAGATGAAGTTGTCTGCTTCAAGACACATTTAAAAAGTCTTTTTGAGGCAAAACTCGACAAAAAAACAGCATGCAAATTTATAAAGTCAATATTTGCCTAGCACCGCTTAATTGCAAGCAAAAAAAAGCACATTTGTGTGATGACGACAGATGCATCCTGGATGCTCTGCTCTGGGCCTTGTCGGCAGGAAAGTAGGTCACAGAGGCAGCAGACTCCAGCATTCTGAATTCACTCTGTTATCTCACATCACTATTCCCCTCACCTCTCTCCCTCTGGCTTCAGGCTGCAGCTTGCATCATATCCACTGCCATATCAAGCACTCAGGGCTGCTCTTTAATACCCCACACCACGGCTCTACTCTCAAGCCAGGTCGATTTGATGCGCCCGTCATGAACGGGGCGGAGGATTGGAGCCCAATTTGCTTCCACCCCAATTTATCGACATCTGTATCTGAGATATGAGAAGCTTGTGCACTTTCACTTGTGAATCGTAGGAAGCTGTTATTTCTGAGGCTACAGTCTGCAGTGTCTAGAAGCATCGAGAGCCGCGGATTTGCTGTAAGTGCAGGTGCTGAGATTCATACACCGGGAGATTTGCGAAATGCTGACACTTGAATGGAGCCCCGCTACCAATATATCCTCTCTGGTGTGTGTGGCTCCCTGTGCGATATTGAGCTGAACATAAAAGGGCTTGTATATTATTTTACACCGCACGTTTTTGACACGCATGAATCCCTTTGACATTATTGGCTGGAATGAGGAAAATAAACCTCACGCTTTTAACCAGGTAGCTTCTTTCTTTTCTCTCTCCTCCTCACAGCCGTCGTCCCCTTTGTACTAGCCTGACCTCAGATCACACGTCAACTTCCTTTCAAACATATTACCAGCTTTTCTGCAGAAACCCTTCATGCACATATCCAGCTCTTTGAAGATCTAACTTGTGTTTGGGTTTTATAGATGCCCATCCCCTGGAGAAAGGATGACGTCAAACTCTGGACTGCCAAAACAAACTGGGTACTTCAATAGTGCAGAAGAACAGAAGAACCTCACAGACTCTAGATGAGCTTTACTCTGAGGTGTATGACTCACTGACAACCTCTTTACATAGATTTTTTTTAATACTCTCATCTAGTATGTTTTCCTTTGCCTTTTTTCTTTTATTATTCTTAGCAATGAAATGCATTTTCTTGAGATGTTTAATATCACTTTAAGATGTTTGCACTCATTGGAGAATGAGTTATTATCTGAGAAGAGAAACACCAAAGATGAAAATAATAGAGAACTAGTTGAAACCAACCTAAAATGGTTTGCTGGTCTCGCTGTTTCAGACCTGTTGGCTGATTTTAAAAGGGTTTGGACACTTTAACCGAACAGGCTAGTAGATCCTGTGGACCACCTGAAGACCATCTTGGCCAGGCTGGAAAGCCATATTAAAACAACGCTAAAGACCTGCAAACTATCTTAATCTGGTTTAAGACAATATTCTTCTAATCCCTGGTTATTCTTTTCTCACAACTGGTGTTTCTTTTTTTTTTTTTTTAGCAAGGAATACAGAAAAACAACACAGCTATGCAGGAAATGAAATTTATGGGAATCATTTTTTTTCTATCCAAATCCCTGCTGTTACATTTAAAATCTTTTCATTTTTGAGATGACCACTCTGCTGCAGGGGGGAAAAAACACGAGCTAAACCCAGCCTAAACTAGCTGGTTGGTCCTATCTAGCCCCACAGCCTGGTCAAATGGGCTGGGTTTGAGTACTTTTCAGATTGGCCAGACCAGCTAGACCAACAGAAGACCATCTTGGTTAGGCTGGGAGACCATGTTAACAGCAAAAGCCTGCATAAACCAGATAAAACTAGTCAGTCAGTAAACAATCACTTCAGACAGTAAATATCCAGCATTGTTTTATGAGCACAAGATGAATTAGGCTATCACTTTCAAATGACACATTCAATTTAATAGCCGTTTAGCTTTGGATGTTTCTGCATTATGCCAGCATAATGAAAATGCCGCTATATTAACCACAGAGCTGTCAGCAGTTAAACATCTTACGCGTCCTGAGAGAGAGTTTTCATATGTGAACACAGTTTACCTTCTACAAAGACGACATTAATGTTGAGAATCAGAATTAACTCCCAAACGTGCGGCATTCTTCATTTAGTCCATCAGGTAATTAACTTGATAACACTTGGTCAAAGTCTGAAGCGTCATTCCCCGCGAGCGACGCCGACTCGCGCGCTCCCGTCGCTCTCAAATATGAAGAACATCGTCCTCTCCAAAAGACGCGACCCACCGCGCAGGTTTACTCTCAAATGTACCAAACCAAAAACCACTTGGCAGGTCACAGCGTAGAAACTTGCGAGTCCAGACGCCGACCTGTCGGCTTGTATCGCGAAAACCAAATTAGACCAAAGCAACGGCTTTATTTCTCCTTGTTTGTGCTCTTAGGTTAGTCGTGGACAGAGCGCGCGGATCTGAGGTTTAGCGCGTGCTGATCCCCCTGCAGGCGGGGCTCGCGCTCCCGTGACGCTCGCTTGAGAATGCGGGTAGTTTTGACATCTATTCAAACTCTAATGCAATTACTTTCCTGCTGGTGTGAGGCTTAACAGGATTAGAAATCATCACATTCCTGTTCATTACTTACAAAATTAGTAACACGAGCGCGCATTTAGGGCAAAACACGCAATCATGGTCTTTTATTAAGCCATCGCTTTATTTATTTATTTACTAACGCAGCGTTGAAAGCTAATTAATGCACACAGCCTTTAGCTGAGTAGAGTTGCAGGTCTGTTGACACGTGCGCACAGGACTTATTTTCACCAAATGAACGTTTAATTTAGACATGTAAACAACATCCACTTAATTTATAAAACATTTTACATAGCCTACTAATATAAATCACTGGAGTAGAAACATCCACAAAATCATGACAGGTACTGGACACTTTTAGACAAATTTAAGTCACATTTACAACTGACATAGTCCCCCACAAGATCTAAAACTTGAATGTAAAATGAACAACAATCAGGGCATGAAACACACATGTTCAGGTCAAATATAAGGTTTTGTTCAATTTGAAAACAAAAATTCTTGACAGAATCAAAACGTGTTGAAAACTACATGCCAATATGTTTTGCCCATCTATTCTGTACACTGTAAAAAATATTTTTCGAAGTATAATCTTTATTTCGAAATAAAGATTACTGGAGTACACCTTAAAAATACTATTTTAGTCTTTCTACTTTAAAAATGTCATGTTTAATTCAATTTGTTACTTGCCATTTCTTTGTACTTGTAAAATTTCCTAGCAATTTCTGAGTGAAAATTGTATCAAAACCATGTTACTTTGTTCTGTCAGTGTAAGCCATTGTTTTTCAGCAGAAATAAATCACTGGAGTAGAAACATCCACAAAATCATGACAGGTACTGGACACTTTTAGACAAATTTAAGTCACATTTACAACTGACATAGTCCCCCACAAGATCTAAAACTTGAATGTAAAATGAACAACAATCAGGGCATGAAACACGCATGTTCACGTCACACACCACAGCACCTCAGAGTGGAGCTAAAAAAGGCTAAATTTGAAATTAGGTAGGCTACTGTCCCAATTGCATAGGCGAGGAGTAGCCTATTTGTGTGTATGTCTGTTTGCGGTCCTGCACTGAACGATTCACATTCATATGTTGAGTCTTTTTTCTTTGAAATCCATCAGTGTTCCACATGAATGTGACCTGATGCGAGATAAAAATATATAAAGCAAGAACAGAATGAGAGGGATAGTGAGTCATGGCTGGGCAACGGATTTTAGCACTATTGGAAAGTCGAAGAGAAAATACAGTGCTATTTTCAGTTACAGGGCACATCACATACAAGTCCTCACACAGACAAATGCGAAAGAATGAAAAGCAAACATAACACAGAGCTCAACAACAAGGATGACCCACGAGAAAAGTGGATGGCCATTTCACACTGATTTCAAATTCACAAATCATTGATTTTGTACATCCATTTTTATGCTTTTCACACTTAAGCGTTTGACTATTCATCTTGTTGGTTAACAAATATTAAGGTTTAGTTAAATTTGAAAACAAAAATTCTTGACAGAATCAAAATGTGTTGAAAACTACATGCCAATATGTTTTGCGCATCTATTCTTGTACACTGTAAAAAATATTTTTTTATTTGTATTTATTTTCGAAATAAAGATTACTGGAGTACACCTTAAAAATACTATTTTAGTCTTTCTACTTTAAAATTTCATGTTTAAGCCATTTTTTGTACTTGTAAAAGTGAAAATTGTAACAAAACCATGTTACTTTGTTTTGTCAGTGTAAGCCATTGTTTTTCAGCAGAAATTAATTACAGTACATTTTAGCTGTATAATTTCCAGCTAGTTGCATGTTGTTTTCTTACAATCATAATAAAATAATTTTACTATATATTTATAAAATGAAACATATAATGAACAATTAGTTATAGCAAATATACAGTAAAAACACATTGCTATTCTCTTAAAAATAAAGGTTACTTTAGCGGTTTTTGCTGCGATTCCATATACGAACCGTTTGGGTTCCCCAGAGAAACTTTCAGTAGAAAGTTCTTAAAATAACTTTTTTTTCTTAGTGTGAAGAACTTTTAAAAATCTAAATAACATTCTTCCACTATAAAGAATCCTTTGTGCATTGGAAAGATTCCATGGATGTTAAAAGGTTCTTCATGGAACCATAGATGCCAATGAAGAACCTTCATTTTTAAGAGCATAAATGTAAAAATGGATCATTCCTTTGTGGTGGGTGGCAGTGAAAATGTTGGCAGGCCAAGCACAAATCTGAACTACTGAGCCAGCAGAAAAAATCCTTATTGTTGAGCCCATCAGCATACATAATACATGTATTCTGTTGAAAAACTGTAACCAAAATAAACATCAATACAATATGTAATCTCACACAGAGACTTCTGTATAATCAGTTCATGTTTGACAGTTTTATATCTGATATCCAGAAGTTGTTCCAATCAAATCAGGTAGAGTTCAGGTAAAGTCCATTCCACTGTCTTTAAAGAGACAATGTAAGAGTGCTTTCATCAGTAGTACTGTGTCTTTTCAGTCCAGCTTGTGATCCAGTGTTTCTTATTTTTTGTGGTGTTCACAATTAAAAAGCCCTGGTTTACCTGGTACTGTTCCTTCTTACAAATCTTCACGCCTTGGTATTTTGGCATAGTTCGAAAGTAGGCAGCCCGCTTAAAAAAACCACTCTGTGAGAAAACAGAACAAAGAGCATTGTGAGCAAGCATCCTACCACATTATTTAACCAGGATTATTATAGTGACAAGGTAAGTAGCATGTGTTCAAAGAAGCTCTTAGAAATCCGAGAGCTTCAAGTGAAGTCGTTTTATGAGATTACAAGATTAACACTGAATAGCAACTGACAGAAAGCATTCTTTAAACTCAAGTGAAATTATGAAGAGAGCAAATTATTAAGAGTTAGAGCAAGCGTGTAAAATGTATTATAAATTCAGCTGCAGATTGTGAGGGGGAAAAGAAAGCTTGTTATCTCTGTAAGAGAAGATGTGATCAGAAGGAGTTTGTTGCCTCATTTGAAAGCAAGCCCCAAACTGCGAAAAAAGAAAAGAACACGGTAACGCAGAAGGAAGTTATTAGTCTTGTCAAAGCAAGAAAAGGCGTTCAGAAGTTGGATTAAAGCAATATACAGTTGATGGTTTAAAACATCATTCTATCTCCAAGATAACAGCATCACAAGCCTGAGGACATAACAAAGAGCCTCACGTATCAATTTGTTTCAGGAAAAAAAAAACCTCTAGTGTTTTTGAGAGCAATGATGAGAGTCGAAAACAGACGAGGCAAGCGTTGTGTCTCAAAAGGGAAGAGGAAAGACAGTATTAGCAGAGCTTGCATGGAATACATTATTGTTAATTAAGTCGAGTGTTTTAGCTAGAGAGCTGTTGGCTGTGGCACCTACGAATTCACTATTTGTGTCAGAGGCCCACAATGGCCAGCGAATCTCAGTCCTCCTCTGTAAGGCGGTCATTTTCAGATGGCTGTGTTTTCATTTCTGCTTTCAGGGCCTTGGCCTCATAAAGCTCTCTGGTGTTGGCCCTCTTGAAGAAGCCGCACTGGGAACAGGATTCAGATATGAGCGATCAAACAAAATACAAGGCATGGCTGGAGGAATTGATCTGGTCTTGAATCGGCTGCTTTTCTGGTACAAATGTTTTGATATGTGTGTGATATATTTCAAATCGACACCATAAAACATTCAACATAAAAAAAACTAAAAAAAATGTGATTTGGGAAGTGAAAAGTATGAGTTACATATCATTTATGCTTAAAAAAAATATATATATATATATATTCTATTCAACAAAAAAAATACACATACTTTCACAATAAAAATATACTTTATAATATATAATACACATACTTTTTTTTGACATTTTATTAACAAAAATTATTATCGTTAATTATTATTATTTATTTTTTTGTTGGTGATTTTTTTTATTTATGAAGTCCCTGCATGATGCGCCACATTTGATTATATTATAATATATATATTTTTATTTAATTCATGCTTACAGCATAATTTTATTGTATTTTATTTTGTTGTGTTACCTGGATGGTGGTTTGTGTGTGTAACACGGTTCACTGTCTTTATATGTTCAACTGCTATTGTAAAAGCTTAAATAATTAATTATAATTCATTATGTGGCCTACTATTTTAATAATGTTGGTTGGTATCGTCATTTTATCAGTTAACAGAATATATGGTTATGATCGGTAAGTTTACAGGCACCAAAGTGCCATTATGAACGTATGAAATGTTGCCTGATTAAAATGTGTAGCAGTATGTGTTGTTGTTTCTCTCAAGGTGGAGGTAAAAAAAAGAAAGAAAAAAAAGAAACTTCACACTTTGTTTATGGTGTCAAAGCATAATGTGATAAAATAAAGTCATTGTTTGTGTCCTTCCATCTAGAATAACACGCAGATGTGTGAACAAAAGGAAAGTGTGGAGCATTGAAGTACAAAAGGATCCTCACCTTCCACAGTAAAATGACAATCAGACCCAGCAGAATCACTCCTGCCAACGCGGACACAATGATTATCCACTGAGGCACTTCATACTGAAGCTCCTCTGCCTCTGCAGGGTCTATAGCTACTGTAAACTAAACACAGAAAAGATGTTTACTGTCATTAATCTCTAATGCACCAGAAAACATATACAGGAAATTGCCTCATTTTAATAATTATTTGATTTTCCCTCACTTATGCTAAATGTATGCAAGAGAGAGTTCCAGATAGAAGAGGAAACTCGGAGATGTTGGGTTTGTACCTCACGGGTGTAATTGCTCATCTTGATGCTTGGTTTGTCTGTTTTTAGACTCAGTGTGGCTCTACCATACACAAGTACTCTTGCAGCATTGTAGTCCTGTAAAAAGAGAGCTGCAAAAATGTTATTTTCTGAACTTCAGAATGAGTATCATGTACAGCACTGCACATTTGGGATGTTTCTTTTATTTGGACTAGTGATGGGTCATTCATGAACTAATCATTTGTGCTTCTCATAATTATATTTCATTATAATGATTTCCTAGTTCACAATATGATAAAAGGCTGTGTATGTGAATGTGTATGGGGAATTTTAACTCCGTTCAAATGAACAAAAGCACCTAAATACAGATTTGCTGAACAAGAGTTCAGTCAGTAAAATGATCCATTTTTCCCACCGTTATATTGGACACACTCAGCTCAGGACACGGAGTACTCTACTAATCAGCTGATGAATTAATTCCGCTGGGTTAAATAAGGGAGACATCTGAAATGTGCAGTGCTGGTGAGGCTACAGGAACAGATTGAAAACTCCTACAGGGCTACGTTTCTCAAAAATACTGTACCTAAATAGCTCATAGAGACCAGGGGTACTAATGAGGGGCTTTCACACCACGTAGTTCTAGGAACTAGTCAGCAGGGTCGTTCCTAGGGAACCATGGACCGTTTTCCTGGTTGCATTCGCACCAGCAGCAGGAACTTCAAAGCAGCTGACAGCGACGTCTTTATTCGTGGCATTTACAAATGTCAACAACCGGTGAATGGAGGACGTCTTGATCGGAGCTGTTTTTGTTGTGTGTCGTGGGTTTCGCGATAATGGAGATGGAATGTAAACACACACTCAACGCGAGTGAAAGAGTGTGAAAATCTGACTAAATCTCCTGTGACAACTTGCAGTGTTACTTATCATCGAGGCTGAGAAAAGAACATAACGCTGCAGACAACAGATACATGCCGTTATCACTGTTTTTCATGTTCGTGGAGTAAATATTTTTTACAATGCTTTTTAAAAATGCTGGGTAGCCAGTGTTTCGTATGTGTTTGGCCAATCACTGTAAAGTTATATCACTGGTAGTTTCTACAGAACCTGTTTTAGACTCTACTCTGAAGAAGGAGCCAATTTATTTCCCCCAAAATGAGTTCCTAGTTCCTGTGGTGCGAACACACCAAACAGCGGGAACTTCCACCAACAGTTCTAGGAACTATGAAAAGGTTCCTCCGGTGTGAAAGCCCCTATAGTTTCTGCAGTATGGCCTGCAATTGGTTTCCTTTAATGAAACACAGCCCTATTCAGTAAATGCTGACAGATATTAAAGTGCTGCTAGAAAAATTTCAATAAGGCATTTGAACATTCTTAATATATTTCACAAATTAGATCACAATTACATTTTAAATTTCCACAGCCAAGAAATATTTGGAAGAACCCCCAGTTAGAAATGTCTAAATGTCATAAATACAAAATACTAATTATATATATATGTTATACATTATACAAAATAATTAAAAATAAAGTTAGGCTTTAGATCAGGGGTGGCGAACGTCGGTCCTGGAGAGCCGCAGCCCTGCAGAGTTTTGCTTCAACCCTAATCAAACACACCTGAACAAGCTAATCAAGGTCTGAACAGTTACTAGGAAGCTACAGGCAGGTGAGTTTTAATTAGGGTTGGAGCTGAACTCTGCAGGGCTGCGCAGCTCTCCAGGACCGGAGTTCGCCACCCCTGCTTTAGATGATAAAACAATATATACTGTATACTGTGTTCAAAGTTAGTGGAACGTTTCCGTAGTTAATGTGAAGAAATACTTGAGGCGATATGACTTCATACATCCACTAAAATCACATTGGGACCAGTTAAATAAAAGTAATGGCTTACTAAAGTTAAGGTGGTTCTGAGAAAAAGTCTAGCATCATTTGTTTGCAGATGCCCTTGCTTCTAATGCAAGTTTTAAGTGTCCAAATACTTTTTGGGGCCACTGTATCAACTTTAAGCCAAAGTATATTGCATATTTTGAAGTACTGCACCTGGTGTAACAAAAATGAAACCACTTAAACCCTCATAAACTCTGAAAAATGTCACAAAGCGAGTGTGGGATTTATCCTTGAGAGCCTTGCATGCAACAAGCCTGCAGTAATGAGATGAGTGAAGTTTCAAATGAAAGCGGAGCTCTGACCTCAAGCATCGTGCTGTTCCATATGCGTGCTCTGACAGTGAGATTGGCTGAGATGTCCATGCCAAGCAAGGGGCAGGTGAATGTCTGACAGAGGGCACTACCTGTGTCACAGTCCTGAGATTGAGAGAGAATGAGCAGTGACAGCCAAAACACTCTTCATTTTGTCTTTGTCTAGTCTCTGTTGCATACTACATCATGCAAAGTATCAGAGGAGACATGTCATGCCAGTATCATCCAGTTGCCTAGCAACAAAACAATGGTTGAGGGAGACGGATATACTCACCAGGTTGGCAGGAGGTTTCCTCTGGATGGCCCGTGGGTTCGGGAGGGTCTGCGGTTCAGTCTGTTCAGACTCTAAGGAGGCCTCGTCTCTTTTCCTCCTTCTAGTCTTGCGCTCTGACACCTAATCCACAGGAGGTAACACGTCCATCACATTAACAAGCTCATTATATTAAGTGCATGGCAATAAAATGCTGCAGGGATGATGTTTTTTCAAAAACAGCAAATTAGCATATTAGCACCTAGGTTTCCGAAGTCAATGGGTTTTTCAAATGGGATTTTTGTTGAAAGCCTGCAATAAGGTCAGTGTTTAACACAATCTCAAGATATTATGTTTTATTCTACAACATAAAATACATCAGTAATATCCCCTTGTGTTTTTTAAAGCTTTTATGCATCTTGACAAATTTGGTTGCTGACAAATGGCTGAACTGAATTACAGAGGTTGTAGGGCACACTAAACATCACACTGAACAGGAAAACTCATCTGCTCATTAATTCGCTTTGTTTTATAATTGTGCTAGTCTAACTTCAGTTTTCAGGGAAAAATTTTCTTTTATAGTAGTTCGTCTATAGCCTATGTTTAGTTTTTGACTTCTGGCAGTTGTATTTTGGCTTCATAAATCATAAAAGTTGTGTTCATTTGCAAAGATTATCATCATGAACAAAATGTGTAAGAATCATAAATGTGTGTTGGTCACAGAGCTTATTTTCTAATCCAAAAAATGTTGTTGAGGGATCCAGGGAAATACTAACTTCCAAGTTGGCCTACAGAAATATGTAATACCCGCAGCGCTCTACTGGATTACTTTCCACCACATTACGGGTTTCTATGCCATATTAATAAACATAAATCACCTAGAATTTGAATATTGTGATTGACTTGCTTAGTATGATGTTTCTGTCTTAGTTCCTCATTCTTTTTTTGAGTTCTAGGATTTATTTGTAGAGCATCTAGACCTCCTAAGCACATGTCGCACTGATTTATAGGCACAGAGAGATAGATAGTTTCCAAACCACCCTCTGCTTCATATTAGGAGCTGGACTTTTTCTGAAATAATTCCCACTCGGCTTTGTACATTGAGCGAGATTGCAGTGCGAGCTGCGAGTAATATAGTTCTGGGACGGGAGGAGGTCCCAGTCCCAGCATGATTTCTTCTGCTGCTTCTCTCAACGATTCAAAGGCTGGATTGTGCTAAACTGCTCTGTCATCAACACCGTACTGCAGAAAAACCATCAGTGACTTTCAGACATCTAATCACTTACAATGAGATTAAGGGGGTTTATGACGTTATTTTCAGGGACACAGAATGGCTTGGAGGTTCCTGTCATCTGAATCTCTGACAGATAAAGCAGCCACTTCTGATTAGCCACAGAAGAAGGCCACTGAAAGACCACTTCCAGATACCCCAGATTTCCCAGAGGTTTTCCAGAAACAGCCACCTGCAGACAAAACAATAAACAAAACAATGACTTTGAGTAATTGCAAACTGATTGTGTCTACTGACTTACATAGTAAAGAACTTGTTTAAGGTTTTTTAAAAAAAAGGAGTCACATCACACCACAGCTAGGACAAGCACAGGTGTCACACATGGGGCACATCGCAATTGACAATGACCAAATTGACAAACTATTTTACATTCTGGCAAAATGGTGCCTAGTTTGCTCATATATCTCATCTTTACATTTTCGTACAGTCTACTTATGCCCCAGTGACAGTTAAAGTGATAGTTCACCCAAAAATGAAAATTCTGTCATTAATTACTCACCCTCATGTAGTTCCCGTAAGACCTTCGTTCATCTTTGGAACATAAATTAAGATATTTTTAGTTTACTGACCCTCCAGAGAGAGCAATGAAACTGATACATTCAAGGCCCAGAAAGGTCTTCAACATGCGTTAACGACAGTACAACGACACAAACAGAGCAAGACGCACACTGTACATAAAACAGTCTTCATAAACATGTCCGGTACTCTTGTAAACGTGTGTCGAAGACTGACTCGGAAGAGAAGAAACTGGAGAAGTCGTTTCGTTATTTTGTTTTTTGCACACAAAAAGTATTCTCGTAGCTTCATAAAATTAAGGTTAAACCACTGAAGTCACATGGACTATTTTAACGATGTCCTCACCACCTTTCTGGGTCTTGAACATGGTAGTTCCCTTGCTGTATATGGAGGGTTTGAAAGCTCTCAGATGTCATCAAACAATATATACTTAATATACTTAGTATAAACTTAATTTGTGTTCCGAAGATGAATGAAGGTCTTACAGGAACGACATGAGGGTGAGTGATTAACGACAAAATTTTGGTGTGATCTATCCCTTTAAGTTCAGGGGTGGACCTATATGTTTACTCCAATACAGCTCAGCCAATCAAATTCGAAGATACAGTGTAGCCTTTTTTCGAGCTGTTCAAACGTCACAAGAACTTGTTACTGAAAAATTGCCTATACACAATCTATCTTTTAGTCTTTGTTTGCATGTTTACTCCAATACAGTGTTCCTGTGGCTCAGTGGTAGAGCATTGCGCTAGCAGCGCAAAAAGGTTGTGGGTTCGATTTCCAGGGAACACACATACTGGTAAAAAAATGTATAGCCTGAATGTACTGTAAGCCGCTTTGGATAAAAGCGTCTGCTAAAAGCATAAATAAATGTAAATGTTATCTTGATGATTTTTTTGAAGTTTTTGTTTTGCATTAGATTCAATGTTTCAGATTTTAGGACACCGTATGTCATCTTATTTTTACGCCTGTTGTGCAACCATCTTTACACCGTTTCCTAACTAGGCCTGATGTAATAAGTCTGAAATTGTGTCCTAATCAGTTGTGTCTGCGGCAAACAACAACAGATTTGGTCAGTCATTTGGTTTCTCCACAGCACAACAAATTGTCCAACACTGGAGACTTGACACATCACAGCTAGTTAGGAATGTAGGCTATAAAAAACATCTTGCCGTCAAGTTGAATTCCACTGGGCTTCCAATGTCACTGGTACTTTTCATGGCTGATTCTCCCATTACTTTTCCACTGAATTCTGTCCTAAACTGGGATAAAGGGCTACAAGAAAAATAGAAATGTTCAAATTAATATATTTGCAAAATGATTTGATTTTATGGTGCTCTTATTAAAGTTTAATGTCAGGCAAAAAAGTGAAATGTCTGTATAATACTGAAGTGTAACACGAGTCATTCTGACAAAGAAAAGATCCGGTGAAATGCTCTAAGGATAGAAATGGCACATAACTCACATATTAAAGAAGGGCTGTAGGACGTACTCCACCATCAGCACTCTCAACAGGGGCTGTAGATCATTCTGATCACTCCACCTGAGAAGTGTAGATGAAATCATCAGCCAGAGTCCAAATCTGAATCATACTCTTTAAACAAACCTCTTTCACAGACAATTGTTCTTTCATATCCATATAAGCCGTATGTTAGCGGTTAAATCTGCAGAACTGAACAGTGAATCACTGAATGCTTTTGACCCTGTTTTTATGCACTGGATTCCTTCCTGTGGGTGGGTTAATGATATTCTTTCTATATAGAGTTCTGCTCAACTTTGCATTCTCCTTACAGAATTTGCCGGATGTTTATGATAAATAAAAAAAATTTAGTAGTACCTTGAAGCTATTTGATATAATGACTGAAATTACACAGACTCATACAAATACAAGCTACATATAATATTAAGAAAAGGGACATGTAAACCTTTGAACAGCATAATTCAAGTCATTTTTTTTAATTCTGTATAATATGTAAATATATTTTATGCAGCTTCTTCAGGGAATGAATGAATGAATGAGGCAACATATCATTTGATTTGATCTCTCTAATTAAAAAAAAAAGCTAAACATCTTAGAGATTCTGCACAGGTTATGTAAACTTATGCGCACAACAGTTTCTCTTCAGGATTCTGTGTCTTTAGAAGAGATATTGATTTTTTTGCGAACTCATTTCCTGCAAAGCATCGCTCCCCAAACGTTCAGCCTATTTAAGAATCTGAAGAAAATAATGGAGATTTCTCATACGTTGAGAGCTGCAGTTCAGTCTGAATCTCCTGCATGTCTATTGTGATTCCTGTCGTTTCAAAGGTGATCTCAATCTCCACCTGTGAAAGACAGAAGTACCCGCAAAAAAATAAAGACATCCATCTTCAGATTCATTACATCTGCTTCTAGAAATGCACTTCATTGCAACACTGTTAATTAAATTCACCTCTTATTATTACATCCTGTATCCAATAAATAACCCTAAAGTCTCATCCAATACGCATTTAAGATGGTAGCTGCAGTACGGCTGCTGTTAAATTCCAGGGTAAGTGTGCTTAAAACCTATGAATGTCAAGTCACTGACACCAATGAAGACTTACTCTCTGATTGCTTTTGAAGGGGTCCCCCAGTGTACACAGAAGATAAGGCACCCCAGGAGACAACTCGACATTCAAGTTCTACAAGAAACAAAAACAAGAACCACATAAAATTCTGTTTGCAGTCTAAATGTACATAAGTTCAAAGTTTTCTGAAAGTTTCTTATGCTCACCAAGGCTAGATTTATTTTTATACAGCAAAACCAGTAATAATGTGAAATAATTTAAATTTAACATAAATGTTTTTTTTATTTTCATTTATTTTAATATATTGTAAAGTCATTTATTCCTGTGATGATAAAGCTGAATTTTCAGCATCATTACTCCAGTCTTCAGTGTGCACATGATCTTTTAGAAATCATTCTAATATGCTGATTTGCTGCTCAATTTTTATTGTCATCAATGTTGAAATCAGTTGTGCTGATTAATATTTTTGTGGAAACCGTGATACATTTTTTTCAGGATTCTTTATTGAATAAAAAGTTCAAAAGAACAGAATTTATTTGAAATAGAAATATTTTGTAACATACAACTGTTACTTTTGATCAATTTAATGCAACCTTGCTTCCAAACGAAAAAAAGATTGATATGGACTGTGCGTGGAAGTGTTAAGAACCGTCGAAGGAACTAAGGTATAATTTCTGAGGACATCTATTGATCTTGCCTTGGGGTTTAGGCTGGAGAAGCTGAGCGAGGTGGGAATGGTGACATTTAGAGAAGCACTGTAAGCATCTTCTGCTTTCTTGTCCTGTGATGGAACATTGGACACATTCACCATCAACTTCAGCTTCTTTACGTCAGTAGAGTAGTGGAAAATCTGCTGGCCATTACGCCTGTAGAAACACACATATTTGCGGTTCACATCACATCTATGAAATAATGACAATTTCCATTTAAGTCCAGTCCGGGTGATTGGATCATTGGTGAGTGTTCATGAGCAAAAATGGGTCATACTTGAAAGGACCTAAGAATCATATTGGGTAGATTCTTCCTTTGAAGCATGATGTGAGATATTCAGTCAAAAATTTATTTACTATTCAGTCATCTACTTTCATTTTCACATGAAGAACGACAGTGAGCTTACGTGGGGAACGGCGTGTTCTGCTCATTTGTGAATGCAGCCGTCATCTGAAGGTTGCTCTCACATTTGTTATCTAATCCACAGGCTTTCTGAATGTGAATCTAAAGAATGAGATGACATTGGTGGAAAATAAGCGAGAATGTGAGCAGGTCGTGAAGTGCAGACATCGTGCAATGAAAATATCATTTGTGTTTGAGTGAGCAAAATATGCTGTCAAAGGTACCTCAGCTCTGTTAGTCAGAGCGTCTTTTTGGCTGATCACAGGAAAGGCACTGAGGTCTTCCAATGTCTGCCCGCCCGAGGGAGGAGTCTCCACCAAAGACACCCTCAGCAAGAAAACTATCGGAGCAACCTTGTCTTGGATTGTCTTGGACTGTGAGAGTCAAATGCAGATGCGAGATATCAGAGTTATACAAATCTCTATACAATTAGCCCAATCTGATAGCAACCCAAATAACCCACTCAATGATTACGAGTCTTTTTGTCACAAAGAATAAAATGGCAATTCAAAGAATGGCCTTGTGTCATACCACTAGCTCGAGTTTCAGAGAACGACAATCTTCAGACGGATTAACAGACATTTTGCCAGTGTATTTGCCATCTTTGTTGTCAAGGAAACGAACACGAGGGCTCCGAGACGATTGCTGATCGGCTTCCACCGTATATTGAAAACCTGAGAAAACAACAGATCTTTCTTACAGCTACTTCATGTCGGACCTGAAGTCTGACAGTCAGAATGTGGAACAGCACACTGAATCATACATTTGGCATGACAATAATATCTAGAGAGTTTGCATTTATATTTAGGGTAATAAACTGAGATGCGGGACTTACTAATACTCTTCTGGGAACTGGCACTGCCAGTGCTGAATGTGTAGGACAAACAGACTTTTGCTTCAATACTGTATGAGGAAAACACAGCAGAATTTACTGATTTTGTCCCAGAGGCATTTCAATACATTTCAAAATACATAATCAGTATTAAGAGTATAGCTGTTGCGATCAAATTATGAAAAATATAGATTTCAGCATAACATTTAGATCTACTCTAATTAGGCCAAAGGTTTTTATTTACAGACAGTTTTTTTGTTGTTGACCAGCAGTGATTTGTGCAGTTTTTTAAATAAGTCTATAAGCAGTCAGTGTTGTCAACTGGTCCTATTGAGTGAGTCTGATCCATCCATATTTTATGTTTTGGGAAATAATTGACAGTTATTATATTGTGACACTGTAGTCTTCTAAAGTAACTACTGAAGTGGCTCATTTCCATGTAAACAAACAAGTGTGAAAGTTGGAGTGAGATGTTTAAGGATTCATTACCAGGCATCACAGTCTTCTAGGCGGATAACCTCCGGTGTCACAGTGAAAGAATTCTTTAGGTGAATCACAGGACGTGCTCTTATAAGGGGGAAATTAAAGAAAACACAGTAAGATAGAGCCTTGCAGGTCTGAAAAAAATTACTAATCAAAGTACAATGATTTACACGGATTGATTAATATTGGTTTTTGTCTTTTACCTTGATGCTATACAACTAAAATATGTATTGTGACACGATCAAATCACCTTAGCAAGACCACGCGATCATCTAATGATCCAACTGCTATGTCTGGGTAACTGTTCCTGTCCACATCCATGCCACCACTGATGGAATAGCCAAACGTCTGGAATCCACCACCTGGGATGTCTTTTCCATCAATGACCTGAGGAATTAATATTAGAGCAATGAACTGACTATCTACAAAACAATCATACAAAATGAGTCAAATAATCAGTATTGACCTCTAATAGTGTAAAAGCAGACCTACACTACAGTTGAAAAGTTTGAGGTAAGTACAATTTTTTAAAGGATTTAATACTTTTATTCAGCAAGGATGCATTAAAATTATCAAATTTATATTGTTAAAATTACATTTTATTATTTTAAATGAATCATTCCTCCATCTTGAGACAACCTCTTTAAAAGTAACTGCTCAAAAACATGGTGCATTTCAAATGTCAAGCTGGTCGTGATGAAATGCTTATTAAATGTTTATCGGACGCTTATTATGATTATTACGGTAATCTGCAGGCAGCGCAGACAACCCTAGAAGTGTTTTTCTTTGAGTCTATCAGTGAGACTTCAGAAAGAACCCCATTTATTCATTCATTCATTATTCATTTTCATTGATTTATTCATTGACAAAGACTGTAATTTTCTTAAGAAAAAAAAAAGATGTTCTTAAGAACATTTTTAAGAACTTCTTAAGAATTGTAAGAGCTGCACTTAATTATTTTTAGTAATCGTACATCTTAACACTCTAAATACTTCTTAATATTCCCATCTCACCTGACTAGGCGTTTGGGAAATACCCGTTTTGCTGCCCATCCATATCGATACTCTGCCTGTACTATGATATGGAGCACCAACAGCAAAATCTGTTAAAGAACAGAGGAGTGAGAAACGATCATTGTCAAAATACTTCTCAGTAATGCCACAAGAAGGCAGCAGAGTAAAATGTCCTTGACTGTATAACGAGCTCCTCTGATGAAGTGCTGCACACAAAAGTAAATTCTGCAAATAGCCACAAATAACTAAAAGCCACATACATGTTACATTGTAGAGAGTGTAATCAAGCAAAGAAACCCACAAACCTACCTTGAAAGCCATCCTGGTTAACATCACCAATAGCAACAACAGCCATGCCAAAAGCTGAGTCCTTAGGCCCAGTGAGCTTCACGTCAGCTTTGTCACGAAAAGACCCGTTCTGGTTCATATAGACATACACCGCCCCGCCTTCATCCTTTCTCCGGTCGAAATAGAAAGGGGCTCCAACAATCAGATCCTTCCAACTACACGGATAATAATGAAGACAAGTTAAATCTCCATGTCGAGATCTTCTGTTTCATTACTGACCTCTAGTTGAGGGGAAACAAAAAGCCAAGAACTGTCTTTACCCATCATTGTTAAGGTCAACAATAGTAACGCTGCAGCCAAAATAGGATCCAACTTGTTCCCCCATGACAGTGGCTTTTATTTGGATTTCTCCACCGACACCAATTTTATGAACTTCAGCCATCGTCACAGATCCTCTGGCTTCATCTCTTGGAGCTCCTGTTACTACTGTGTCTTTGTCTTTGCTCAACACATCTTTAGCCACAGCAATAGAGTAACCTGAAGAGCAATCAGTCAACAATAACCAAGAGCAATTTTCTATGTCTACATATTGACATAGTTGACAAAGGAAATGTAATATTAATTAAAGAAAGTACATGCAAGCTATAGATTTTGTGTTTCAGGAAAAGGGTAAAACACAGGGATTCATTATGTAAAAAGGATAGGTCAGTCGACAGTTGACAACAAATACTTATAAATAAGAATGCAACATGAATAGTATTATATGTATATATAAATACACATACATACATGCATTTATTTATGCATATACACATTTTTTCTCACTTATGTATGATTTATATTATATATAAATATAAATATATTAGGGCTGTCAGTTTAACACGTTAATTTTAATTAAGTAGTTATGGAAAAATAATGCCATTAAAATATTCTAACTCAGTTGACACATCCACCCCGCCCCCAGACCTGTACGTCATCTTACATTTCCTACAGTTGACTGTTAAAGGGCAACAATTATTTATGTAGTCCATAAAGGCAATTCTATGGCCCTAAAATTTAAGATATTACACCAAAAAAGGCACTATATGAGTTGTCTCATATTTTGTATCATATACTATATAATCCTTATCACACGAGCAGTGAGAGAAATATCACACGAGTGTTATTTTTGTACCAAACAGTGATTTTATACAACAGTTCAGTAAATAAGTAATATTTCAAACACAATATTGTCTGTTTTAGCTGACGCAAATACCTATTAAAGCCACAGCAGAACTCTTCTGCGTCTCCAGGCAACACACAATTTCTGAATGAATCCGCATTGTGAACAAATCGGGTGAACCAATGGTCCATTCATTTACATCATTCCTGAATGAAACTTTGAACGAATCGAATGAAGGAATGACTCAATTGATGCGTCATCTCAATTCGTCTACTTATACTATGTCCTAAAAGTATGTATTCTTTTTGTGAAGAAAAGTACATACTTTTGAGCATGTAGCTTAGTTACGTGCATTCGGTCACTGTTTAAACTGCCCCGTCAATCATCTTGTCACAGTTAACATAATCCACATTTCGGTAAAAAAAAAATTTTTCCCCAATTGTACTGGAGAGAAATGAAGAGGCACGTTGATCTGCCAGTCACGCCTTTCATGCTGAGAACTCTGCTCATGTATTTGCATTATGATGCATTTAAAAGTTAATGACAAAATGTATCTTTTTAAAAGTTTACAGTGCTGTTACAGATTAAATATAACAAGGAATACTTTTTCATCAGATTAGACATTGATTATTTATCACTCAAACCCCTTTCTCTACCTGTCCACTGCTCTCGCATATCCACCATGTTTATACTTTTTAACACTTTTTATGTGTGTTTGTAGTTCTAATCGAATCCTCACGCAATGTGTTGTGGGCAATATTAGCCGTTAGAGCGCACATCCATCTGCACTTCAAATTCTAACTGGAAGTAGTAGACCATCCGGGAATCTTTGGCATACTCTTTTCAACATACTAAAATTTGGGACATAGCAATTCTATTTTGGAACACTATTTAGGATGGATAGTATGTGAATTTGGATACAGCAAATGACTTATTCATTAAGACATTTACCGCCACCTACTGGCAGTTTTATTTTACTTTACTTGGAGGATCATTTCATTAAAAAATTATTTAATATTTACATATTAATAAAAAAATCCATATTACTAAAAAAAACTAATTAAAGGGAAAGTTCACCCAAAAATTTAAAAGAAAAAGAAAAAAAGAAAAAAATCTTTCTAAAGCTATCTTTCATTATTTCTATTTCATGCTCTTCTCATGTAACACAATAATGGCTTTAAATTATATTTTGCGGGTAATTTCTCAGCCAAATTTGATGTGCAATTAATATGCGATTAATTAGATTAATTAATTAAATTTAATTAAATATATACAAATATGTGTGTGTATTTATATATACTTCTAAATATATATGAATAATAATATATGAATAATCGTTAGAAATAAATAAGTTAATAAATAAGTGGAATAAATAAGCTTTCCATTGATGTATGGTGTGTTAGGATAGGACAATATTTGGCCGAGATACAACTATTTGAAAATCTGGAATCTGAGGGTGCAAAAAAATCGAAATATTGAGAAAATCGCCTTTAAAGTTGTCCAAATTAAGTTCTTAGCAATGCATATTACTAATCAAAAATTAAGTATTAAATTTTATATATTTACGGTAGGAAATGTACAAAATATCTTTCTCGAACATGATCTATACCTCATATCCTAATGATTTTTGGCATAAAAGAAACATCGATAATTTTAACCCATACAATGTAATGTTGGTTATTGCTACAAATATACCCCAGCGACTTAAGACTGCTTTTGTGCTCCAAGGTGACATATATTATGTAAACACAAACTTTTATTTTGGTTGCGATTCATCGAAATAAATAATAGAAATAAATCAACTAAAATAATTTTTTGTTGTTGCAGTTGTTTCGAAAACTGAGTAAATGTCAGAAAATCCAGAAAGCAAGGTTGTAGCACTGCCTTACCAATGTAAATATTCCCTCTTTTCAAGTTTGGAAGCTTGCTCTTCATGTCATCAAACTTATCTTCAGGGTTATACCACAGTGAAAATGTGTTTCCTGCGTGTGACGGAAAATTATTAGTGGAGAATTTAACATCATTCTTGCATGTAGAAGCAGAATGTTTACAGGAAAACAAATTCCCCTCACCTTGCCAGTTGAAGCATCCAGGTGCACCCAGGAAGATCTCCGTCTGAGTGAAGGCAGCAGACATTCCAGCAAGACACATGCCTTCACTAGTCTGTTCATCTCTGGGGTCACACACCTCATTGTACGACTGCCATTGAGAGTCTGCTGTTTTATACTGTAAATCATTTCCACGAACATAGCACCTCCCAATCATCCGAAAGTTGCTTGCAAAGTTTCGTATATAACGATGGCCACAGGCCTAGTAAATAGAGTGATGAATACTATGTTAGGATGGTAAAAGCAAAGTTTTTTTTGTGGACTGATTTTTTATAGACCAACATAAGAGAGGTCATTTTTATAAACTCACCAGTACACGGCCCCCTGGTTGACTCTGACTGGCTAACGACACACCTAGCCACATGCCATCCATCACATCATTTTTAGGGTCTGGTATGTCTTCAGAATCTGCATAACACAAAGCAATTATTCAGATCTGTTCTTTCTGTGGTACCATGCAGACATGTGGAACACAACAACAACAACAATAATAGATAAAAATAAAAATGCAAATTTAAGTCTGGTATGAACGGTATTTTTATAATCATTATTAACGGTAGTGAGGCATCAGTATATTACGATTTCTACTACTATTAGTATAATAATAAATATTATGGTATTATTTTTTGGCCTCTAACACTAAGCTTGCTCTATTCTTTTTCTATTCTATCGGTTTTCTTTTTATTTATTATATTATTTAAAAAACCCTTGCTACGTGTACTGCGTTAAGCTAACTGAGACTTGTTATAGCACTTGTATATCGTTGCTCTTTTGTTGATTTTGATTGCTTCCATTGTCCTCATTTGTAAGTCGCTTTGGATAAAAGCATCTACTAAATGTCTAAATGTATTTATTATTATAAATTACATCATATTAATTAAGATTTTAAATATCATTACGAATTAATATTTTTATTACTATATTATAAATTATTAATATTATTTAAAAAACGGATAAAATTAAGACATATGTAATTTACAAATATCAACAGATACAAATATATATATACTTTCCATTTTTCATACATTTCATACATTATATAAATGTCATATAATTTCCCCTTTATGAAATGTATGGAAGTAAGCAAGCAACTTGCCGCCTTGGAATAATAAGGTTCTATCTGCATTCTGAGCAGTTTTGAGATATTGAGCTTCAAAGTTTTTGCGTTCCATAGACTTCTGTAGATAGAACCCTTTTTGTTTTCTAAAAAAAAAGGTCCAAAATGTACATAGCTTACAAAAGAAACCTGTCATAATGTAAATAAATTGTCACAGAATAAGAATATGTGAATAACTCAATTTTGACAAAAATGTCAGATAGAACCTTATAATTACAAAATAAATAAATAAATACATTTATGTTTCATATGACTGGCAGGACAATGAAAAAATTAAACATAACAACAACAATAGTATTTATGAATACTGTAAATCGGAAAAAGTGAAGGCCAAAAAAAACTCATGGCTTGTATGAATGCCAGGAAAATTACTTGAGCTGAGAAGGTTCAGTCTTTTGCAGTCTTTGCGGTCTGCAGTGATTGGACAGGCATATACATCTCCAGTCTCATTGGCTGATACTCCCAACTCTGCTTTCTCCTTCGGTGCTCCTACAAGAAGTCTGAAACATGTGTAAATCTGATTGAGCTCAAGTCTGTCTCGAAGCATGCTAACTCCAGCAAGTGTAACCCTTATCTGTCTGGGCTTGTCGTGCTACGTGAACTGATTTTGACTGGAAGGACTTGTCAGAACCCATTACTTCCAGGACAGAAAACCTTGCTTAAAAAGCTACATGCTTTTAACTATCGGCAGAACCCTGCTGGTAAAAGAGATTAACAAAGCATCTAAAAACCACAGGAGACGGTGATCACATTTTACTCAAATGTTCATTTTCAGACAACAGGGTGAATGGATTTAGCGTAATACACTATGGAATGGATAACTTCACATGTTCATGTGTCTACTTCTCTTCCTCTTTCCATAGGCAAGCTATTATGATACACACATTCTTTATCCCTTCCAGGGAAAATCGCTTACTCAAGCTCCACCTATGTAACCGATTTGATTTTGATCACAAAAACGAGGCAGCCTTAAAGATAAGAGTCAGGCTTACGATACCCACATCTGCCACCATGGAACAGATGTAATCCTCTAGAGCCCTTGAGGAAAGTGAGCAGAATTAAAGCGGCATTTCATTAAACTCTAATCACAAAATCAATGGATTTTATTTCAATATTTGCGAGAGCACGACAGACATAATAATGACTAAAGCGGTGCTGCCTGCAAGCTCGATTCATTAATGTTTCATGATTTTTGGAGACACGCACCCTAGTTGCTATTTTATCCACCTTGCAGCCTGAGGCCTCATAAATATTCCACTCAGTGAGGGATGAGATCTCATCAGATCATGACTTGTGTCTAACGGGATTATTTATGATTGGGCTTTAGTGGGCGATGTGGTCATTTCATCTTCTTTAAAATTCTGTTTGGTGAATTTTAACAGGATTGTATTTTGTCTGACAGTCTAATCATCACAGATTCCATTCCTTCAACAGAGAACTTGGGTTATAAGTAACATGATATTTGCCACAGTGAGTGGTATTTTTTTGATTCTTGTATGCCAGATCACTATGCAGAGACAGTTCTAAGTAAGCCGCTTGTAATGCCGAGTTCACTCTGCAAGATTTTAGCCCTGACAGGTTTTGCAAAATCGCCGATGTCCGTGAAATATGCTAAACATCTGGACCTGTAGGTGATTCAAAATCCTGCTGTGTGAAATGAGTTCTGACTGAAAAATACATCTGCGATGACCTACAGCCAATGAGAGAGCAAGATACAGGGCAGCCGGAAGTTCAGGGAGGAGTTATATGAAACAAAGGCAGTTCATGACCCCTTTAAGAAAATAGTAAAAGAAAACAGTAAAGAGTTGTGAGAAAATACCATGCATGTCAGATCCGCATCATCAGTGGCAGCTCTTAAAGTCATAGCAGCCAAAATAACCTCATAACCCAGCTGCTTTGATGTCTGTTAATCAAAGAACAAAAGGAAAAAGGAAATCAATGACTTTTGTAGCTTTAAGGATTCATTTATATTTAATTTAGAATTTAGTGTTTGACAACTTTATTGAATTTCTGTATTTCCTACTTGCTGAAGGGCACAGGTAGCTCAATATGGCATTTATTATAATGGGTTTATGTGAAGATTGTTTTAAGTTCACTTAAATTAGAAGTTATTTTTTAAAGTCTAATAAATGTTAAAATTGATAGCTCTCAATTATACTGTAATGTTGAATGGCTATAGTCAATGGTTAAATATTAGGGGAAAAAATTATTTCATAAAGACATCAGTAGCACTGGTATCAGTGATACTCGCCTTCAGTCATAAAAACGACGCCACTAAACACATTTTTTTGTAAATAATTATTCATTAGTCTTTATGTTGTTTCTACATTAATTTGGAGATTGAATGTAAAAATTTTGCAATATAAAAGTATATTTAAAAACTTCAAAGTTAGGTGGGATTTCAGAAAAAAATGTGTGATTAATTAATGATTTTTTAAAATCAACTAACAGCACAAGTTTCAACTGTTTTTGTCCATTTAATAAAAGTCAATGGGGTTCGTTGGGTTCCATTATATGGACCTGAAAAGATCTTTTAAGAAAAAAAAAGTTTGGAATGACATGGGGTTAAATAATAATGTTCATTTTGGGTGAACTATTCAATTAAAATCATAATTGCATGCTTCTCATATACGCAAATGCTACAAGTGAACATGATTACTAAAATACACTGCACCAAGTGAACAACAAACGGACATTCTGAGGTTTCCTTTTGTGCTCATTTGACAACACTCCTGTACTTGTTCATATGCATCACACATTGTGGTGAGGTAGACTGTGATGAGGACACAGACTGAGGTCAGAGTCAAAGCGAGGGAGGGAGAGGGGGAAGACAAGGAGGGACAACGAAAGACAAAAGGTGAAGTGAAAGACATCCCTCCCTCTCCCTTTGGGTCTAATTTAATTTGGACCCCAATGATCATCCCCCTCAAACCACCATCACAAACAATCAGTTGGCGTCTCTGCCTCAAATCCTGTCATGTGACTCCAAATTTGCTTTCAGCAAGGACAAGACAGGAAATGAGAAATTCAAGAGAAGGTGAATGAGCAAGAAAGAATGTCAGACTCTTCCTTGTTGCTGCATGTCCACCACCTTTTATGGGGGCTGTTGCTCATTTTATATGCAAAAAGGGCGTTTACTTTTGCTTAAGTCTTAAAGGTGCGGAAGCAACAAAATGGTCTGTTTAATTCTAAGCAGAAGTGAGAGGGTGCTCATTAAAATAGTAATTGAAGACCAAATTATAATATGTTTTGATTCAAAAAAGGTGCGATTATCTTTATAAATAGACAACATGGGACAAGTCTGACTTATAACACAGAACATCTGCAGAGAAGTTTAATGCAGTTTGTTCAGTGAATCATACTTCCAGTGCATTACACCTGAGTCTGTTTATGCTTAAACAGATACCAGTCACATGACATGGGTTTTACCACTACAATTATCTACAGGTCTAGTGGTGAGCGGCACATACCTCAGAGGCAAGTTTATGAACCGCAAGCTGGTTAGGGGTTTGCATTCACTGGTGCTTCATTTCATCGAAGCTGCTCTGTTTGAAAGCATATGACTCAACCCGAACAGATTCATTTAATCTTTTCCACAGCATTAGTCTTCATTTTGCTTTTCTGTCAGTTGGAAACATCCTGCAGTATGTTTGAACTGCAAATAACACTGATATTTCACTTTTATTTCTTGGTCTAGTGAATCTTTTGAAGATATATACTGACATTTGGCATTTTCCTTAAGAAGTTTAGAAGCTGGAATATTTTAACAGAATGCCTCTTTCTAGCCCTATTTATACCTCTTTTTGATTTACATGCAGATTGTGAACGTTTTTGACTTGGTTAAAAAAAAAACAGCTATGAGTCAGATCACAGAGAACACCACTTCCTGTAACCTGCTGAAGAAGGTGTGTCTGCTTCGACCGTTTCACTGAATTCATATCAGGGCCAGAGTTCACATGTTGCACCTTTGTTTGACGTGTGTGCCTCCAAGCTGTTCTAAAGGCCTGAACTTTCAGTAAATAGTCCTTACAGAAAACGGTCCCACTGGCCACGTCCAGTGTTGGAGACTGTCTGGCCACGAAAAAAGAGCTTGATTAGGAGAGAACATTTTCTGGCAGTGCTGCACACATTCAAGTTCAGGCAGGTGAAATTCATGTCCCTTATCTCCCACATATTGCTATGAATGAATGGGAAAGCAACCAAAACAGAGTCTAAGCTGCACAATAAATGATGTGCACAGAGAGCTTATTACACTTTCAAGTGAGTGGGTGAGCAGAGATGAGAAGCAGCAGTTTAAGGCATCATATTTGTGCAAAGTTTGTTTCAGAACATAAGCAACTTCATGATGTCTTCTAAGACACCTTCTCTAGGCCAAGTTCTAGGCAGCACTGCATATGTCCTTTGTAGAGAAGTCAGTCCAATAATGCACTGCGCTCAGTGAAAAAAACAAATCTATCATGGTGGATAAGAAAAAAATGCAACAAACAAAACTGAACAATATCAATAAAAACAGTTGAATCTAATTGAAATGGATTATTTTACCCGAAATTTTGCCTGTGCTGTGTGATATGTATAAGTATTTTACTACTAGTTTAGCAAATATGCTAACATCATGTGGTTTGCACATATTTGTTTAAAAACTGTTCACCAATATATACTGTATATATATATATATATATATGTGAGCACATTATCATTCAAAAGGGGAAAGTGAGCTTTTTTTTACTTTTACTCCGTAAGTACAAATTAAAAGAACCAAAAGTGATAGTAAAGACATTTATAGTGTTCTAATTCAAATGATGTTCAACTTTCTTTCACTGAACTTTCAATTCATCAAAGAATCCTGAAAATAATTATGGTTTCACAGCAATATTAAGCAGCACGACTGTTTCCAACATTGATAATAATCAGAAATGTTTTGGCAAATGAGCGGCAAATGAGCATATTACAATCATTTCTGAAGGATCATGTGACACTGAAGACTGGAGTAATGACATTTGAAAACATATTAAAATAGAAAACAGTTATTTTAAATTGTACTAATATTTCACAACATTGCTGTTTTTACTGTACAAATAAATGCAGGCTTAGTATGCTTAAGAGACATCTTTCCCAAACATTACGAATCTTACCATCCCTAAACTTTTGAATGGAAGTTTAAATTTACATTTGATAAAACCATTCCTTCTTTATCATTTACCACACACATTTAAGTTTTTCTTTACAGGAACCGCATGAATCAGAGCTGCTACGGTCACTAAACTGACAATCGCCCTGCAACTACAACATTCACAAGGTGACAAATTCCATTCTTGACATTCCGGCTGTTACAGATTAATGGATCATATCTAATCCAAAATCCCAGGATGCTCCACATGCACGGCAAGTCATTGTCCCTCTAGGCTTTCCAGCCCAGAGGCGAGACAAACCTACTCTACTTCAAGTTTTCATAGTGCCTACCCTACTCCACTGACAACTCAAGCACCATAATGACACTTTT